TTCTCAAAACAATCTTAAACAAATACACCTTCAATTAAGTGATTTTACTCATTTCTTTTGCTTCAAGGCTATCCTCTTGAACGACAACAATCCTACGTGCATCAGTACCACTACCCAGATCTTGGAAATCCTGAAATGGAAGGCCTTCTCGAAGCCACTCGTCGTGGAAACACTGCAACTGCTAGTCGCGTTCAAGGGCGTTTTCTGCCAATCAGTGATCCAAGGACAATTCGTGGACTCAGTAGTCGACAATTTCAACATCATGCACTACTTGATCCCCCACTTCATCAACCCTACGTCAATAATGGTGACGATCTTGTGGATGATGACGAAGATATTGACTTCTTCGGTCCTCATCCACTCCTAGCTCATCGACGAATCAATTCATCCGAGTCTCTCCAACAACACGTCTTCCGACAGGGTCATTGTCTATTTCCAAGCTACTCAAGTCCACCTCTGATTCTGCCAATGTCGATGATTGTTCATTTTCACTTTCAGGCCTTTTCCCGTCGACTACCTATCATCGAGGATATGCAAGACCCAGAGGCAACAACCCCGCTGTTGGAAATGTTGTAACAGGTGGACCTTCTGGTGGAGGTGCAGGAGGACCCAATTCCGGCGTCTTCTACGACACTCGGAATCCCCATCTTGCACTGGATCCGCTCACAGCTGCCTATCGGGGAAGCGTACTTAGTTCGACGACAGTATCGTCTAATCAAGACGAGTTGATGCAGGCCTACGAATATGGACGCAAACATGGACGATTTTTGGCTGCTGTAGGAGGGACTGTAACAACAGCTGCTGTGGCAACAACAGCGTCGGGAGATGTGGGAGCTGTAGCACCCTCGTCAACAGTGGCAAACGCTGGAGGCGGTGGGTCGGGATCCAGTGAAACTACAGATCCTGGAATATGTCAGTTTACGCAACAGCCTCCAATGCCGGATGAAATGGATGGCCGACTGCCTAACGGTGTGCAAGCAGGTTAAATAGTTTTTAAGGGATAGAATGTTGTTCTTATTATCAAAAACTTGTTGATAATCCAATCACCCTACTTATTAATCTATTAAGTAGCTTGCGATTCTGGAATTCGAAATTTAAAATCTAGGATCCCTTGATCCCGCCCTCTAGGTACAATCGAAGTGTCCCGTCGCGGTGCGCCATCTGCTCGTCCTGGACTAGCAGCAATGGCAATAGCCAGTGAAGCTCTACCTCCTGCTTTCCTAAAACGTCAGCTGTCCGAATGCCCCTCAGAAATGACGGACACTTACGCGTCGGTTGATTATTCGGCCATCGGAGCTGCACAATCCCGTGCTGTTGTCCCTCTTCGTGGTGGGCTCTCATCGAAGTTGCCGACGATTCCACAGAACCAGCAGCTCCTTGCAGCAAGAATAGAGTTGTAAGTGATGCCCTTCAAATTGTAGTGGAAATCGTACGTGGGACCTAATGACCCATACCACTGAGGGCTTGAACACATGCGACAGCTGTACTTTACCCTCATTGGCACCTCTTTATTCACTTGATCTTGTAGCCCTGATCTGGAGAGCGATTCCGGAATGTCCGGGTTGGCCCGTGGGGCTATCCCAATGCCCGGATACCATCGGCAGTCTAGCCAGCACAGTTACTACTATCCCACCACTGCAACAGCAGCGGTAGCGGCTGTGGGAGGCAGTTACTATGGTCAACCGGTTGGGCGACAGCATCGATCTACTATGGGTGCTTCCATAGTTCGAAGGCAGGAATCGATGACCGGAGTAGGAGGTGGGGGTGGTGTTGGTGGTGGAGGTGGAATTTCGAGAAGTAGACAGCAACAGCAGCAGCACTATCAAAGTCGAAAGGGTGAGCTATTCATCATGACCTTTAAAACACTACTGAGACCATCTGTGGATGCTCGAGGTGGGGATGAAAAGGGAGCTTTGCGTTGTCGAGTGAACGTTTATTGGAGAGACACATAAGTGTAAAATCGTTGATGATTTGCGACTTACAAGGAAGGTCGGGAAGGCTATTGCTAGATTTTTTCAAGGTGTCTGCATGGAGCTACATCCATAAAAATTGGAGGGTCTCAGTGTAGTCTTGGTTAGAGCAGATAGACAGTTGCTGCTAAATTTGATGCATTTTCAGGCATTGCCCGTGGCATCAGCAACAACAACGCCAGCGCCACCTCTACCGGCTACGGCTCAGCTCCTCGAAGCGTTGTTGCCTTCGAATCCTCCGATGGAAGGTGAGCTGCCTTGATTAGGTGCAGTGGAAATTGTATCAAACAAAATTTCAAAGTGCTGTCACTGCTGTTTGCAGGGTACTACAACAACAACAACAACAACAGCAGCAACATCAACCGCAACCATCAACTTCGACAGGAGCAACAGT